CTCTCTCTCTCTCTCTCTCTCTCTCTCTCTCTCTCTCTCTCTCTCTCTCTCTCTCCCTCTCCCTCTCCCTCTCTCTCTCTCTCTCTCTTTCTCTCTCTCTCTCTCTCTCTTGCTGCAGATACACTGGCGATAGAAATGGGATGCCCCTATGGACTGAAACGTAGTGAGAAAGTGATTTTCAGTAGGGCAAATGGACACGCATTAGATGAGTGTATGAGGACTCGAGGAGGAGGAGGAGGAGGAGGAGGAGGAGGAGGAGGGAAGGAGCAGAAGGGGAAGAAGCAGCATGAAAATTTGCTGTGACGAATGATAATCGTGGCATGGTGGTAGGGATGGTGATGATAATGGTGGTGGCAAATCTGGGTGGTTGAGGGGCTGCAGCAATAAACACCAGCACCATCAGGACTAGAAGACGAAGAAGGTGAGGGACCTGTTTTGTGCTGTTCTATTGTCTTAAACCACCACTTCCCGCACCGGCCTAAATCCAGCCTTCCTGGCCTTACGGACTGGGTTCTTAGGGGGGCGGGTGACCAGCAGGTGCAGGCGCGTCCAGCCAATCCTGCAATTTTCAAGTGCCAACTTCGGTGATTTTCGCGCTCACAAGAGTCAACGAAAAAATCTGAAAATTTGAGATCTTGTAGACTGGATTGTGATCTTTCAAGGAAAAATATCAGGAAAAAAAAAAAAATGGACCATGAAAGAAATGCCGCGCCGATTCCTCGCATTTTCCATTTATGCCACTTTACCACGTGAGGGCCAATGGAAAAAGTACCCCAACTTCCACGATTTTTTGCGCTCAGAAAAATGACTCGTAAAATCTGAAATTTGGGGGGCCTGTGGATTTGGTCGTGGTCTTGCCAGGAAAATATTTAAAATTTTTAAAAAATAGTTTAGACCGTGAAATAAATGCCGCGCCGATTCATCTCATTTTCCACTTCTGCTGCTCTACCACGTGTGGGCCAACAGGAAAAGTACCTCAACTTCAGCGATTTTTCGCGATCAAAAGAATGTGTCAAGAAATCTGGAAATTGAAGGGTTCGTAGATTTGGTTGCGGTCTTTTCAGGAAAAGTATTAAAAAAATTAGATAAAATCTGGGCTGGGCCGGCGCCCGGCCGGTTGGGCCCGGGGGGGTCCGCCCGGGTGAACCGGGCGACGCAAAAACAAGGCAAGGATTTCTTTTTTTTTTTTTTTCCTGAAGGTGGGGCTGTGCTGCGCTGCACTAGAG